GGCCAGTGTACAGTTGGAGGCCTCCCAAATTAAATGGGGAGTTTGCCCTCTTTGTCTGGTGAGAGAATTTGAAGGATTCACCCTCTTTGTTTGGTGATGTAAGGAGCCACATGTCTGTAGGTGAGCCTTTGCATTTAGGTGGGTATTAATTAAGCCATCTCTTTCTCACAAAAAAGGAGGCCATCTTCCCTTTTACTGACAATTAGATGTGGATATAGGATATAAACGGGGCAGGTTCACATATCTCTTCAGCCTTTATATTTTCGAATGCTACCTCCGAGGTGGGCGCTCCGACTGCCCCATTCCCGAGGGCCGTGCGGGACGCGGTGGTTGGGAGCTCGCCCGGGAGGTCGGCTATGCTGACCCGGCTCTGTCGGGAGGTCTGGACCTCAGCTGCAGGTCAGAGCCTGCGTTTGAACATGCAGGGACCTCGGAGTGTGCAAGGGCCTCGAGTGCAGGCTGCCCAGGCTCTGCATAGAGGCTCGGTATTTTGGGTTTGCATTGGTAAGCATTGCTTCAGCATAGTCAACATTTTGTGGCTGTAGCCCTTCCTTACCCGATTTCTGCTAGGCTCAACAGAAATTAAATGACTACATAAGCGTTAAGAAGACTTACTAGCAGCCCAGGCATATTTTTATGTGTCCAACATATCCTTTAAAATCTTAGCAGGAATTATTATTGTCCAGTATATGTGGTCATTTGGCACTAGATATCTCAAGTTGTGCCTGAAAGTTGAGGTAAGCACAACCAGGGAATGCTCTGAAAGCCTTACTTTACAGAGTAAGGCTTTGTAACATGCAAGATGAGTTTAGTTGATTCCTTCTTCCTGCTATAGCAACTAGACAACATTGCGTAATGGCAACTTGTATCTTCCAGTAAAGGTGGGATGTACAAATGCGGTATTGTTTCTCAAAGTGACCTGGTTTATTTTTCCTCATTTTAGAAACCATATTTTAGGAGTGGAATGATAAAGAGTAAAAAAGAAATGCTGTAAAAATAAGCAGGTGTCTGTGCAGCTTCACACACAGCTGTGAAACATCAGGGTACTGGGTCTGTGTGCTAGCTTTTCGCTTTTAATTAATAATGAAGCCTTTCTGTTGCTGAGGCTTATTAGTAAGGAAAAGGGAATGAGAAGGAATTAACTGTGAGTTTGTAAAGAGACCGTAGATAACCCAAATGCCACTTCACAGAGTTAATACTTTTAAAGGTTAAAATGAAATCTTCTGTTAGCTAAAGGGAATAGGAGGACAGAAAGAAACATTAGATTAGGTTTCAGGCCTTGTAGTCAAAACCAGGGTGGGACGATAGTTTCTTTAACTACTATGGTATGTAGGAGTCCTGCCAGAAGTTTACTTTGGTTTCTACAAATTGGCAGCAAATCATGAAGCTTGTAAATGGTACAGGCCTATACTAGAACTTCCTTTTGCTCAGAGGCTAA